ACCACATGTTCTCACTCATTGGTGGGAGCTAAAAATAAACAAATTAATTCACCCACATACATACACAAAAAAAACCGGAGGGGGGGGAAGAAGATATAACAACTATACTTTTTTGAAGTGGTTACAACAAGCAAACGGAAAGGACATTCTTGGGGGGGAGGGGAGAGAGGGAGAGAGGTGTCGGTGATGGGCCAGAGGGGAGAGAGGGAGGAGCGAGGGAGGTGTTGGTGATGGGCCATAATAATCATATACATTGTATATTGACAAAATAAAAATTTAACGAAAAAAAAAATCAGTCTTGTAAAGCAACAATACATATGCAAAGTGCACACATTTTATGTATGAACCAAGATATTTAATTATTTATTAATTATGAAATTAATTAATTATTAATTTCTAATAACCTGTAGCTTAAAATTTTAAAAAAACCTGTTCAATCGCAAGAAAATGTGTACTTTCTCCCTTTTCCAAAGTAATCATTTTTTGCAGGCACAATCCTTAACATCATTAATACTTAGTTTATTTTTGCAGAATGTTGAATGTCATAGGGAATAGCTCATACATTGTTAAATATAAATAACCAGGATAAAATATTTATGCAATATTTTTTATATACATCATTTAAAAATACATCAATATACATAATTTCTGAATTATGGGTTTATGGATGATTTTTCAAAACTCTTTGATATATAACATACATACAACAAAGTTAAAAAATCCTAACTGTAGCTCACCAGCTCAACCACCACTTCCACTTCCATTCAAGAAATGCAACCGCGGTCCCTTAGAAACCACCCCATTCCCCCAAACCTGTCCTCTCCTTCCTTAAAGGGAATGACTATCCAAGCTTCTAGCACCATGGGTTAGTTTCATATGTTCTTTAAATGTATACAGATGAAAGCATATTATTCATATTTTGCACATTGCTTTTGTGCAAATAATGTCATAATACTCATCCAATTTGTTGTAAGTAGCTATAATTCTTTCTCACTGCAGTGTGATATTCCTTTATATGGCTATGACATGATTTATTTATATGATGTACTGCTGATTTGGTGATTTCCAGTTTTGGGCTGTTTTGTGCATGTCTTTTGTTGGCATAAAGTCAATACTGAAGGTTGATCCATCTACCTACCTAACTTACACAATTCTCAGGACACATGTTTAACCGTGATTTCCTGTATTTCTCTCTGTATTGATAACCAACGCTGGTAGATACTGTGAACCGTGTGAGAGGTAGCTATGCCAGAACTCCAGGCTCTGTTCTGGATAAGACCTGGATTTTGCCATTTGGATGCCTCTGAGCAGTCTGGGAGGAAGGTATGTAGTGGAGGCCTGCTTGAGTCTGCTGCTGTTGTTGCTAACACAAGACAACACTTGTGGCTACGGTGCAGCTTTGGTGCTCTGCTGCATGGTCGTGGTGGTACGTGTCGGAACTCAACAATTGAGGGGCCACCTCCTCACTTCCTCTCTTCTGGTTCTTCCAACAATTTTCCAATGATTCCCTGAATTAAACCCTTTCTACTTAAAAACACTTGCATACTTTGTTTACTGCACTGAACTCTAACTCAGACATCAAGGACAAAATGATCTCTTAAGACAATGTTAAATAAACTAACTCAATAAATATGTTGTTAAATAAGTTTTTCTTTCATTTTTTTCATCCACACTTCCCTGTGCAAACATGTCCCACACTGCGTGGTAATGTGGCAACATTCACTTACCGCTGGGATAAAAGGCTCATCAGGTGCACAGTGATAATTCTGTAATAAGGCTTGAAGTTGTAGTGAATTTAACTTAAAGCAGGTGCTATTTATATTTGGTATGTCATCAGGTGCATACTTATCCATGGTAAGCAAAGTGGTTGCCTATTTAAAAGAAAAAATGAAATATACCATGATTTAAAAGAATTTCTAAATCTCCTTTATGTAATATTACAATGTACAATGTAATAACTTGCTAATTTAATTTTGAAATCTGGGATTTTTTTAAAAAACACATTTCCACTAACTTTAACTATATATACATTAAATGGAACTAAAAGCATTGTCCTTTAAAGATTTTTAGATGCTCCTTAATTTTACTAAAACATATGTATAATTAGGTTCAATTATTTATGTTCACAAAGCATGTAAAAAAATGCTCAGAATGTGACTGTATTTGGTAACGGTCTTCACAGAGATAATTAAGTTAAAATGAGGTCAGTAGGTCCAAAGTGATTAGTATCCTTCAAAAAGTGGACATCTGGACACAAACACACACACGAGAAAGCCGTGTGAAGATAAAGGCAGAGACCAGGAAGATACATCTACAGGTGATGGAAACCACCAGAAGCTGGGGGAAGAGATCTGGAACAGACCCTCCCCTCCCAGTCCTCAGAAGGAACCAAATCTGCTGACACCGTGATTTCGACTTCTGGCCTCCTAAACAATGTCAGTTAAGCCACTCGGTTTGTGGAACTTTGTTACAGCAGCTCAGGTACTAATACATGACCATTTCACTATTTATATGTATGAAAATCCCCAAAAGGAGAATACTAAGTTTTGGTTGTGTCTAACTTCTAGTCCATTACAGCACCAGATGCCTTCACCATCAAGTGCAGTAGCTGTGGGCATGGGGTCAACAGGACACACCTGCACAATCCTGCTCAGGTGACAGTCAGCCGCCAGCTCTAGCCCCTGCTTCTCTGCCCACGCTTCAATATGCCCCAACTGCTGACGGATGATCGCTCCCCAATAATGGGAGCACAACCCTGAATCCGGGTCGGTCACTAATCTGTTGAACAGCCACATATTGATAAAGTGGAACAGCTGAGAGAAGAGCTGGATGGTCAGGGCTGCGTTGACCCTGCAGCGTCGCAGCAAAGACATGGCTCCCGTGAGTGTATGCAGCACATCATCTGTCCAGGGGACAGGACAAAAAGACAGGGTAACGTCATCCAGGAAGAACCTTCTGAATTAGCAATAAATTTATGTAATGGTAGTTATGGTAATAATTGCTGTTAACCATCTTAAAAACAATAATTCCATTCAAATAGGAAACAGTGACATGGTCTTAAACTACATATATTAACTAATTACACTTAATATTGTAAGTTCACCCTAAAAGCCTTTTTTAAAAAGTATGACCATCATGCACACCAAAATGAGAAATATTGGTAAAAGAGATGGTAGTTAAATTTATTAAAGACTGTCAAATCCAATAGGACATCCCATTTATTCTAAAATACCTCCCATTATATATATTTAATATTAAAATAGAGTTAAATGTGAAGGAAGAGAGGCAGGGCAAAAGGGAAGGAGGCAAAAAATATCCTAACCTATTTTTGGTCTTTGCAGACTGTTCTCTTCGGGGTCATCCAGAAAGGCTGGCATGTAATTATTAAGTTCTGATTGAAGACAGTGAACCAAGTACCTGAAAATATGTAAATAATTTTAATAGTCTCAGCATGATGCACTGCTATTGTCAGATGTCATCACATGCAAAACAATCTGTACTCTTTAGAAGTACTGTCCATTAAAAAAAATTTAAGAGTTTTATTCTCGGGATTCTTGAAACACAGCTCACTGAATTCAATATTACTAAATCCAGTACATTGTGCATATACTTATTTATGCTTCTTAGGTTGATTCCATCTCTTGGCTACTGTGAATAGCACTGCAATAGACATGGGTAACTTATGCCTCTTAATAATCATCTTCAATTAAACTTTAAAATTAGTTTTGAAAATTGAACAAAAATATATGTATGGTTTAATTCTCTATAGAACGGTATCTTCAAAAATGTGTTTCTTACTTAAACGCCATTTGAACCAAGTGTGCTAAAACATCTTGGGCATCCAGTGTGATTCGACTGAGGTCTCGGTCCTGCTTAATGAAGTTGAGTAGTTCAGATGCATTTGCCATCCAGAAGGCAAGTGCTCCTGCAATGTTCTTCTGTTTCTGTAGACAGAACAGATTTCCATAAGCAATGCAGGATAAACAAAGATGACAGAAATAAAAAAGAATGCTCTTGAAAAGCTGCTGAGGATAGACCAGTACCTCCCCATTTTCACCAAGGTATTTATCACAGATACCAGATATTTGCAAAGGAATTTAAGTGCATACACAGCAATGGGAAGTAAACAACCACTGCAACTAGGATTCATGTAAATAGACATATGGATCTAATTAGCTACAATTTATGAAATCATTAGAAAAATAGAAATATCAAATAATACAACACCAAATTGTAGATCATGCATTATCTGGTAATCTGTGCAGTGTACACACATGTATCTATGGTTACCCATAGCCACCCTGATACTTGTAGTCACTGGCTTGGACACCATGCAACTCAGTATCAAGTACTGATCTATCGCATCCTCTCCCGACCACATGTGCAGGCCAGGCAACCTCAGATGAGATCCAAAGAATAGGAACCAAGGATAAATAACAAAGAGAAGAAACAGAACTTTTGTCATTTCATATCCACACTGAGGTGCATTAAGCAGAAATTATGAAATGCTGATAAAGGTTGCACAGTCAAAAAGGATTTTAGTACTGCATGTTTCAGTTGCTGAATGAGTGTTATGAACTGTTCAGTCCAGTTGCTGTAGTACTGTATTTTGACATGGAAGCAGCATGAGAAACTCAGCTAAGCCAACACAGCTAGGATCAGCTCCCAGCAGTATGTCCTACCTGATCAACCTGGTCTACTTCCTGGAGAAAAACAGACGAGGGGAAATCAAGCAGAACAAGAGAAAGAAACTTGTAAACAATCATGATAGTTTAAAAAAAAATCAAAACACTAATATGAAGGTACGACATGAAGGTACAACATTTAGTTGTTATTCCCTAATTACATTTTCATTCATGGTTGAAACAGCTTTGGAAGTATATGACATAAAAGATTAGTTTTTATGTTCTTAATTCTGGCACAATAAATTTTTATAGAGTTTATTCATAATGATTATGTTACAATAAACACACATAAACATACTGATCTCTTTAAAAGACTGCAAATGAGGAACTTCTAAACATCTTTTAATGATATTATGTGCTTACTATCTAAAGGTACATAAGATGAGAGTCCATTCCCTGGACTAATGAATAAGAATTAAAGAGACAGGAAAGGCCAACAGAAATGATCAAAATAAATGTTGTAAAGTTGAGAATTTAAAAATGTATGAAGAACTTACATTATACCTATTCTAAAAGGAGTAAATCTTTGTTTTTTGAAAGTAGAATTTAAATTATTCGCTACCATACTTCTTTTCCTCTATTTTAAGATTCCTTCAATCGCATACTAAACTTAAATATGAAGTTAGAAAGACTTGTTTTGATAATGGTGATTTCACTGATTTCACATCAATAAGGAAAAGTCTATCAAGGCAGTTTGGTGACAGGAGTTTCACAATTTAAACACACTTTAGAAGTCCAAATACGATGGAAGACAATGGCTTTGAATGACAACTGAAAAGGAAATCCATGTTTGTTTACAAAATAATGGTATTAAGATGGTATCCAAATAAAATGACTATCCAAAATGATATCCAAATAAAATGACTTTCCTTTTTATCTATTTCCTAGCTTGGGTAAAAGAACTATAACTCCATCAAACTCATGCTAATCACTTGACCATGAAAAATTCTGGCCTTTTAAAACAACTCTTGAGAGAATTAAAATTTCATCTTAGTTTCCCTTAAATAATCCTGCCAGGAGAAAAACAACCAAACCACCTAACCATGTTTATGTAACATTATATAACTAGAGTTTTATAGCTGAATCATATAGCACTGAGAAGTGATTCAGGAAAATTTTAAAACAAATCTATAAATGTACTTTTAAGGACTTTAAAGATTAAATCTTCGAATTATCTATAACTATGAAAAACTGCTATGCCAATTTTATCAACTGTATATTGATAGAGAGTACTTAAAAAAACCAAACCATTTCACCAATGGAATAACCTTATTTCCTGAAATTGTCAAAACAGGTTTATGAAAGAATTTCATCCTAAGTCAGAAATATGTTTCATAATGTTCATTATACCTATACATGTACTATTAAAATAACCAGATAATTATTACCAAAATCACAGCAGGTACATTATAAAAGAGCAAGTGCCTTTTTATAGGCATTAAAATAGTCTAAGAAGGTGGTTTCCAGAAACTGAGGGAAGGAAGAAATGGGAGAAACTGCTTAATGGGTAAAGGGTTTTACTCTGGGGTAATGGAAATGTTTTGACGCCAAATAAAGGTGGTGCCTGCACAATACTGTGAATGCACTAAATGCTAATGAATTGTATACACTTCAAAATGATTAATTTTATGTTACGTGAATTTCATCTCAACAAATTTTTTAAAGAAATATTCTAAGAAAACCTGCAACAGTCAATACTTCCTCACAACTACTATTGCAATTTTAGGGGTCTTTCTCATGATCATTATGTTGCCACATACTCAGTTTATTTTCATTTATTCTAGAAAGTTTACATTTCTTTTACACTTTTTAAAGTTGTACATTTTTCTAAACTATTTATATAATAAAACTTTTATTTTAGGAAGCTACCTTAAGATGGAATCAAACAAGTAAACAAATCAGAAGCTTGAAAGACACTGACTTCACTGATTTAAAAACTAACTGTAATGGCTGGCCTTGCTCGGCTTTTCAGCGGGACTCACCTGTATAACTCCTTCCATCATGCTCACCATCTTGTTGACGATGGCGATGACCTTGTGAGTGCGCTCTGCAGGGCTGAGGTCAGGTCTGTACTGGTTGGACAATACATACCGACATGCCATATATAACACATATGTAGGGGACAACTTAAAATGCACCGTAGAGCTATTAGTATAATTTATAATGGCAGATAAAAATGAATCTTCAGCTGTGAAAAGATTTCAAAAAAGAAGAAAAAAGAAAGAACAAAAGAACCATGAGAATCAGAGAAAAATGGAATAAGAAATAATTCACTAACAATGGAATCTGAAATTACTCACAACTTTCCCTGAATTCAATGCTTGCAGGCAGTATCAGTTCAGGCCCAGGAACATCCTGAGTCCTAAAGGAAGAAAGTTGACATGCTTAAAATAAGGTCATGTGGCTAACAGTATCCCTAACAACCTGTATAGATTTCTGAAAGTACTTTTTACATCTCTATACAGATTTTTCAAATGTAAAGTAATAAATAGCACAACACCTTGTTTTCATATGCAACCTATTCAAATATTTAGATGTATGTACTGGGAGTGATCTTATCACATCTCCTCACAGAAGGTTAGTTCCTTTAAGTGTATACTTCCATCACGAGAACAGATCTGATACATGATTCTGGACTGTTAATGGACACTTCGTGTCTACTACAGAGATCAGGCTGTCTTGCACCTGCTGCAGCTATGGCTCAAGTAACACTACCGTGTTGAGCTTGAAACTGAGTTCTTACAAATGAAAGAAAAACTTCCTAATAATTTGTCTTTCTCTACTGATACAAGGTTAGACAACCCCTGAAAGTTTCCTCAGCAATTCATGATAATCATTTTTCAATGTTCACAGTGATGCATGCTTTAAAAAAAGACACTCTACTCATTCACATTTTTTCTTAAAGTCACATGAATTCCAGGTACTTTCCATCATTTAGCCTGATACTACACAAGTAAGGAATTGTCAAAAAAATATAAACAAAGAGAAACTACAATTTGGAACATTTCCAAGAAGCAGCATTGTACTAATGTCTATAGTATTTCTGGGTATTCAGGATCAAATTAATTCAAATGCTAGGTACATTTCTACTTCTATAAAAGAGTTCTTCAAAGAGTGCGTCATCACCCATTGGCAGGGACCAGGGTGAACATTGTTTTGTGAAACTCCTATTCCAGTTACGAATATACATATGTGTGTGTCCACCAGGGCACCATGTGCTGTGACCATGGTCAAAAACATTTTGAAAGCCATTCCTAAGCACAGTTTCCAAAACGTGTGAGATAACTACAAATCTAGCTCAAATCTCCTTCTCTTAATAGATTCATACTTTTCTCAATGTATAATGTTCAGTTTAAATACCCTTTCACTTAGGTGATTAGAACGTCAAGCCATTTATTATCCTAATTTAGTTTGCTACTAGCTATATTTTATGGATAGTATTTACCAAAAACCAAACAGGCAAGTGATTAGCTTCCTTAACATTTCAGTATCCTTATCATTTTAATTAAACTTTAACAGAGATGATGATGAAGAATGCTCAAAAACTCTGTCTCTGAAAAAATAAGAAAGTTAAAACTAACAGCAAAAGCCAAGGAACATGTGTTTTACCTTTCTGAAAACTTAATTGAAAATTAAATAGTGGGGCGTATAATGACCTACATTGAAACTAAACTACCTACTGAGTTAAATATTGACTTAAACCGGGGTCAATATTTATTCAAATAAACCTTCATATTTGGTGAAATGAAAAGGCAACACAGTTATCAGAATATCTTAAATTGAAATACTCCTGAGCGACTTTAAAATGTCACTTTTAGCAGCCATATTTCAGTCTATTAATCTTAGACAACTAGTAATGAACTGCCAGAATTAAGTATTTCAAATCATTGGTCCACTCATCTAATAATATAAATAATAAAAAACTTTTCTTCAAACATGAAAAAGAATAACTTGTGGTGATTACAAACTTACGACAGTTTATAGAGTGGCTAACTAACATAATTCTGTTCCAACAGCAAATAGTTCTCTTCCCTCCATCATCTTCTCCATGCTCCAAAAGATGAATGAAGAGAAAAGAACATAACCTGTGTTAACACGAACTATTATAATCATTAAAAGCAAAAAATGGAAATCGTTTCATCAAATTCATGCTTCCAAATTTATTATCCAGTCTATGATTTAATAATTTGCAATTAACTCAAGAATTTGGGAAAATAAAGATGCTCTTATAAACAGAATATAATTTTAATACTCGGTTATTTTAAAGTATCTCTCTTATACTGCCATATTGATAGACATCTAAAATTGTAGAGTGGCTCTTATTTTAAACTTAATATCCCATAAAATGAACCTGGATAAACTTTACCAGTTGTTTGTGTCATCATTTTAACAAATCTGGTAAAAATAAGGAACTTAAATTGTCATTGGAAAAAGGAAAAAAAAAAAAAAACTGTGAGTGACAATTAAAAAAAAGTCACTCCCATAGTTCAAAAGGATTTTTTCCTTGACTAAAATTAGTATTTTACATATTGTATAAAGTGACTTAGATCTTTTTAGACTATGCCAATTAAGTTTAGGATTGCTTACTGAAACACTGCACATGTGAGAACCGGGTAGGAGTGGAAAGAGTGGTTAACCTGCTTTCACCACTGTCTTAATAGCAACATAGTAACATTCACAGTTCAAAATCGATTCAAATAGCCTTAAACAAGTCTTTGGAAAGCAAACTAATCTTACCTTCCAAGCAATTTAAATTAAAATATGTGCTTATAGCAAAAATTAATTTCTGAAATACAATTAATGATCATGTGGCTACGGTGACACTAATATGAACATGTGTACATATTTATTAGTTCTTAATTCTGCATAGCCTAAAAAGCATTATCCTAATCGATTTTTCCCCTTCCCATCTGGATTCATTCACTCATTCAAATATTTACGGGCTAAGAACTATGCTGCACACTGCTCAATAACCTTTACAAATACACAGAACAACTTACAATACCAATCTACCATTCTGAACATCTTATTTTATAACACACCACCAAAAAAAAAAATACATATGCAGAAAGTAAACTACTTATTATTACATCTACTAAGATTTACATAGACAACAAAAATCTCTCAGAACAACCAAAAGTCTACAATAAAAATATAGTAAAAACTTGGGATTCCCTTATTAAGCTTCATATCTAGTTACGGTGACGAATGATATTAAAATCTTGTGATATACAGCGCCCTCTGCTGGAAGATGGGAAATTAAAGAACTGCATCTTCATCACCCGTGACAGTGGCCCTGGACAAGTCATCTGCTTCAGCCAACTGCCTCAGTTACTGGATCTTTGACAGGGAATACTTAAAATGGCCTCTTCAAAAATCTGAACAGCACCAGAAGATGAATGCTCCCAGTTTCACCGCTGACAATGAGAACATCATAAAAGCCATACAACATATCCCTATTTCTGTTTGAGTCCATTTAGAGCTCTAGAGTGGAGATGCTCAGCACCAAATAATGCTGCAGTTTAAACCAGTCAGCATTTGGTACTCATCACCTGTTATTTAACTACCATGTTCAAGGCACTGACATTACTCTTCAACATTTCAACAATTTTAGAGGGTACAAGGAAATAGAATTCTAAGGTGACACATATTAAAAATCACAAGAAAAGGATAAAACAAAAGGTGGAAGTTCTCTGCCCCAAAATATTAGGAAAGAACAATGCCAGAAGAAAAAATAATTCATCCTCCATCTATCTCAACAGAGAAACACATCACATCCGAGCATTAGACATGAAAATACAGCACTCCACAATTCTTAAAAATGCTATTACAAAATCATTTTTGTCTTTCTGTATTTTTAAGTAGGAAGATTTCTTTCAGAAATGGGTAAAGAGATCAGTTTTCTCTAAATATAGAAATTATGTTTTTACAGAGTAGCAAATTCAAAACAGTAATCTTTTAATTATGTGCCTATTTCAACTTGATAACACCATGACATATAAATGAAGGATGCCATTATCGATGAAGCATGTTTTCCTCAGTTCAGTAATATGGAAAGAAAATACTCTTAAGTATATTATTGCTAATATTCTAAAACCTCTAAAAATTCAATAATCTGCATCCCAAGCCTCCACCTAGGAATACATTTACCTGCTTTCTTGCCTGCGATAATCTTGCTGCTGCTCCACTCTGACCATCGGCTTCACCATCCCTCGCTCAGCCGTGCTAGAGGCAGAAGGTACCCTTTCGCTGTCCAGTCTAGTGGTGCTCTATGCCAAGGAGAAAGCACAGTGTGTTTAGAACGTCTGGCAGACCAACCAAGCTTTCCACGCAGCACTGCAGGTAGAGATCTGATACAGGGCTGCCAAGCGGGGGAGGAGAGCTCAGACCAGAAAATCAGACAGCAGTGCTGCGGATGCCATGTCCACAGCAGCATGCCCAAGGCACGTCAGCATTAAGAGAGTAATAAAATGCACAGCCACCTTCATTTGCCAAGAGCACAGGCATGCAGAAGTGGTAGACACACAATGATTTTTCTGGAAGTACAATAACAATAGTGATTTTATTCCAAAAAGTTATTTTAAAATCAGGAAAAGGCTGAGAAAATGTGTACAATATGAAGAGTTAGGGCCTTTTGTTTATTTGTTTTAAGAGCAGATTTAGAAACTGTACTCATTACAGCTCAATATCTAATGAACTCAGTAATGAAACTGGCTTATTTCCTGCCCTAATCAACACAGGGAAAAAACATATACTTATATATTATAACCTAAAACAGTATATTTAAGTACTTCTAAACAGTTCACGTTCCTACCCATTTGTATGGCAGACAAAAAAGGATGAGTTACCTAAATTAAGAAAACCTTTACAACAGAATCAAAAAATTTTATATATAATAAGATTCACTGGAGCAAAAAATTCATGTAAAATTTCTTACTACATGTTTACTATAGAAAATGAACATAGATGAGAAGTAAAAATCATCCTTATTTTATCATCCAGAGATTAATATTGCTGTATCTTTCTACTTTTTCATAATTTCCATACATGAGATTATACAAACTACTTTGTAAAAATACTTTTTCATATGTTGTAAACATCTTACAATATATATATATGACTGTACAACATTTTGTTGTCTATCACAGTTCATTAAACCAAGGCTTTATGATGTTGCTTAAAAATGTTCATCAGTATAAAAAGTGCCATGACAATTGTGTTTATAAATACATATATATTCATAAACAATAATTACTTCCGTAAGACACATTTACAGAAATAGAATTGGTGAATGAATGACAATACTATTTAGACTACAAAAAAGTTCTTATAAATGACTAGAAATAAGGCAATGGATAAATACATGATAGTATGCTTATATGTTTACATACTACAAAATAGTTCTGTTTTTATATGACTTCTAAATACACAAGAAAATGCCCACAAAATAACAGCTGAAGGAAGCAGGACACAAAGGTGTGTGTACTGAGAAAGAAATACATCTAACTGTTCAAATGCACAAATGAATACACACAGACACAGAGTTCAGGAAAGGATCCATCCATGGAACATTACCAAGGGTCAATATAAATTGTGCATGAATGACTGCTATTCTTTTGCATTGTTTTCTCTATTTACCAAGTCTTCTATGTTGGACTACACATTTTTACAAGTAAACAGACTTTTTATAAAGACAGTTCTATTTGGCTCCAGGACTACTTATTCATTCCATTATTCATGAGATGCTTACAGAGACTCTCATGTTCTGGATACCTGAGGAAACACTACAAGTACAGGAGTAGCATGTGGCACAAGATCTCTGCTTTTAACGTGCACCTCCCACAGTCAATCAACAAACAGGACAAGTATCAGATGGTAAAGGCTGCACAAAGAATTTACATGAGGTGGTATAACAGCGACTGCATGCTCAGGGATAACCTCTTCAAGAAGGTGACTTTAAGCTTAGGTCTGAGACAGGAAGGGGCCATTCGTGTGAAAATCAAAGGCACAAGCAAACATGGGTGCAACAAAGGCCTTCAGATGGGAAAGAGGCGGGTGCACGCCAAGAACAGAAAGCCTGTGGGGTCTGGGTCGGCAGCAGTACAGTGGCCAGACAGCTGTACAGGAAGCGAGGCAGGACCAGGTCGCAAGTAGCTGCACAAGCCAGGGTTAATACTGTGAAGCACTGATCTTTTGTATCGTTTTTTTGGGTTTCAATTTCATTAAGTTTTGCTCTGATCTTAATGATTTCTTTCCTTCGGCTAACTTTGAGTTTGGATTGTTCTTGTTTTTCTAGTTCTTTAAGGTGAAGTATTAGGTTGTTCATTTGCTATCTTTCCATTCTTCTAAAGTAAGCATTTAATGCGATAAATTTCTCCCTTAGTACTGCTTTGCAGTATCCCACAGGTTTTCGTACGATGTATCATCGTTTTCATTAGTTTCAATAAATTTTCATCAGATGAGTGGATATGGAAAATGTGGTATTATCTACACAATGGAATACTACTCTGCTATAAAAAAAAAAAATGAAATACTGCCATTCACAACAACAACAACATGGATGGACCTAGAGAGAATCATATTAAGTGAAACGAGTCAGGCACAGAAAGAGAAATATCACATGTTCTCACTTATTTGTGGGAGCTAAAAATAAATAAATAAGTACACAATAAACTGGGGTGGGGGGGAGAAGACACGACAATTACAATTCCTTGAAGTTGATACGAGAAGTGAACAGATATGAGGTTGTTGGGAGCGAGTGGGGAGGGGGCGGAGAGGGAGGTTTTGGTAATGGGCCATAATAATCAACCACATTGTATATTGACAAAATTAAATTAAATTAAAAAAAAATACTGTGAAGCCATGGGGCTTCGAAAGCAGGACATTAGGGAATAATTAACATTAAATGGTATTTAAACTTCAGCAAAGGGGCAAGGTCACCTAAGGAACATGCCATAAACTGAAGAGAAGGAGTCCTAGGTCTGAAACATTGGTCCTCCAAACCTCAGAAGTCAAACACAAGAGGAAGAGGACCAACAAATCAGACCAAGAAGAAACAACCACTAAGTGGGGGAAGAATCAGGAGAGTGATACCACAGAAGCCAAAAGAAGAGAGTGAGTTGACTAAGTAGTGGCCTAGTTAAAATCTGCTGACAAGTAAGACAGGACAGAAAACAAGCACTGGGTTTGACAACTGGGAGGTCATCGGGGCCCTTGATAGGCACAGTCACTATGGAGGGGACAGGAGCCAATGGGAGCAGAAGAAAGAAAGAAGATGGAATTAGCAAGGAGAGACAGCAACCATAGATGATTTTCCTCAAGAAATTGTGCTGTGAACAGTAGAAAAATGGGGTCAATCATTGCAGGGATATATAGTAAGATACTGTAGTAAGATTTTTAAATACAGGAGATACCACACTGTAACATGTTTTGATGCTGATGTGAAAGGTCCAGAATCGTGGGGGCTTGCTGTACTGCAGCCTCCAACGAACCCCAGCTTGAGTGGCCTGGGCTGAGCCAGTGATGTGCTTTAACCAATTCAGGGCTGAGGGCCTAACCCTTAAGAAAGCCTGCAAGTCCCACAAAATGAAGACTTCAGGCTGCCCTGAGACTTCTATGAAGAGCACCTGAGATGAGCACAGAGAGGGAGGCCTGGCTGTCCTAAGTTCCAGCACAGTATGGCCCCCAACTAACCTACTAGCTGCCACACAAGTGACCAGCAGTAAGACTAGCAAATGAACCCCCCAAGTGAGCTCAGACTGGACTGCACAACTGTAAACTAATAAAATCGCTGCTGTTTTAGCCCACTAAGTTTCCAAGTGGTTATTCAGCAAGAGATAACCAAGAGGAAAAAAATGAATTGATCGTGCATGAGCTAAGGGACAATCGTGGAAGCAAAGTACCTGGGAATGTTAACTGAGGAATGGATCTAGTACGTAAGCTGAGGAGTGAACAAGAGCAGGTATGTATCATCTTCAGGAGTAATCTGATCCAGAGGGGCTAGTTATACCCAGGAGAAGCCTAGGAAATATGTACGATCTGCTTGGAAGAGAAAGCACAACATCCTGGCCTTGGGAAAAAAGAATAGTCTGCTAACTTTCTTTTATGTATCACTCAAAGATAACACAGCAGATCAAGACAATAGGGGCCACTATGAAGTCTATTTTTACAAAGGAGTTTTATATTACCAGCATATTCACCCAAGGTGCCCTATAAAATCAAACAAACACAGTGCTACCAGATAACATACAATTGCCTACCTTGCTTGTTGGTAATGCTGTCCCACTATGAATATCTCCTCCTAAATCAAAAGTTGTCTCCTGAACGATTCTGTCAGGATTTAAAAAAAAAAAAAGGGAACACGTAGAATTAATAAGTTTCAACTGACAAGGCATAATCTCTTCTTAAAAACACAAAAAGAACAGTTATCTAAATATCCCAATGTTTAAACATCTTCAAGAAATTGCTTTATTTTCACCAAATGAACTTATAAAATAGCCATTGTCATTTTATGAACTTTTCGTATTGGTATATACTGAACACTCTCAGGATATTTTTTTAAAACTATACTTTAACAAAAAGAAACTGAATGAACATAAATATGTAAGCCTATCTAGTCAGCAAATAACATAAATGAAGCAAAGTACAGAAGGCTGAGGTGCCCATGACCCTGTTTTTAAACACAGGAAAGGCAAAAGTGATCACACAGAAAGACAAGGAATAGGGACTAAGCTGCCCTCCGGTTTGAAAGTCAATCTGATGATGACTTAAAAGCACACGAATATCACTACTTAGGCTACAAATAAAGAAATGGGAAACTTTTAATAATGCTAGCAATCAAATCAAAAGTTATCCTAGTTTAAAAAGATTTTAAAATATCTCAAAACACCAGAACTTCTAAACCTGTCATTATGAAAACAACTGGGAATATAAACACAATCTCATTTTGAAGAGTCTAATAAGCTGGGGCAAGCTGTATTCTTTGGCACAAATGAAGGGTAGATGCAACCCACTGGTCTCAGTTCATCAGAGGCCCAAGCCAAAGGAAAAAGGAGCCCTAGAAATACCTGGAAACCAACAAGGATGAATCAATGGTTATATTTCTTGGATTTTTGTACAAGACAATCAAGAAGAATGAAATCTCTTTTGCTATAATATTTGAAAAATAATAATTTCAAAGTACCATGGAATCTTGAAACTTATTTAAGTGCAATCTGTAGAACAAAACAAGAAAACAATGTAGAAGTTCAATTTTTAAGATTAGAAAAGCAGGTACAAATTCCTCTTCTACCTTATCACCACTTTTTAACATAAAATACAATACTTTACAATAGTAACTTTTGAAAAAGTAAAAGCTCTTACTAAAGACTAATCATCAACCTTCTGCAATACATCACCAAGTTTTTTGAAATTAAGTACTCATCATCTATCACTAAGATATTCACAAAAACATGGAAATGCTCTGCTTTTTCCTTTTGGTTTGAATGGACATTCATTCACCTATTTGCTCTCTGACAATACAAATAAGAAACATGACATTTCATCTTCTCTACCACCTATAAGAGCTTTACATACACATTACCCAACTCTAACTTCCTCTTACAGATAGTATATAAATATAACCAAAGCCTTCTTGATGTTTATAATTATAATCCTAAAATAACAAATTTACATCACCACGTAAAGCTCTTTAAGTCTTTTCCCTAAAGCTACTTCTTGCAAGAAGTAACCCTAGGCCCATTTGTACTGTACTCTGGATATGTGAACAATTCCAAAGTGACTTTAAACACGACTTTGATATTCCGAATCATGACCTTTGATTGTAAGAATCACAGCTCACTCATCTCAGTATTCAAAGCACAGTAACAACACATGACATGGATGTAGAAGAGATGAATACATAAATTAATGAATCAGTTTATCATCAGAAGCTCCTAACATTCCCAAACTGATGGTCAACATCAAACTTTGCTATTTGCTGGTAACCATCAGTAAGGACCTGAAGACAGACTCTGAAATCTGCATATGGGAGCACATGGGTTATGTACCCAAAAACTTCTGTGACAGTTTGACATCAGAAAAAACTAATGTTTATAAAAAAGTGAAAGTCCTTTCTAATATTCAACCACTAAGCAGTTCTTACCAAGTTTGGCAAAAAATATATAACAACAACAACAAAATATCACAGCACATTCTCCTCATGGAAACCTATGTCATATTCTTATACGATCTCTGCTTTGGGCCAGAGACACGGTAAGAAGAGAAAAATGCACACTTCCAAAGCAGGAACCATATGGGAAAAATATAGCAGGAGACTGACTGTCTCACATACAAAAAAACATCACCAAGCAAAACTGAAGGGCTAAGTATGGGACAGAGATTGCTCCTAGAATTGTGTTCATACACAGCAAGAGACATGGACAGTAACACTAAATAACAAACATGAAAATAAATATACCAACACTCAGAAATAAGGCGCAATTGTAAACAAGGGACAATAACTGTAGATACAGTTTAAAGACAATATGCAACACATCAGAAGAAACTTTCATACAATAATCTGTTTGACCAAACTGAGGTGAGCCTAGGAATATAAGGGAAGTTAAGAATATAAAGCAGACAGACTTTACCCTATCGGGACATCTGATGCTGAAGGGAAGAAACAGGGCTAAAGAAAAGATGACGATTAAAATGGAGGACGTCTGACCAAGACTATGGGCTGAAGGAAAACAGCCTATGTTATGCTAATAACAAGAGACGGGAAATGGGGAAATGGCTGGTAAACGAAAAATCTAACCGTAGGAAAGGAATTTTTAAAAACTGCTATTTCAGACACAGAATGGAAGGATGAATTTAGATACATATTCAGTTTAAAGCTGAAAGAAAGAAAAAAATGGATTTTGGGGGAAGTAAATAGTAAAGGCACTTGATGGTTTTCTCTGGGAAGAGGAAGGCTCATTTGCTGAAACTTGGAGCTCAAGGTGGGAGGCTAGGAATATATCTTAAACAACCCATGAACTTTGCAAATATCTCATTTGCCTAAATAAATATATACGATAATCCACAAAGTGTTCATCTTGGAAAAAGACATTAATTCTTAGTTACATCTGGCCCAAAGTGTAAGATCTGGGTGGTTACCCCAATGTATGTCATGGAACAAAACAATGGGAAAGGCAGTGGAGAGAAGGCCACCAGCATGATGGCTTATGTCTGTGCTCTTAGGGCAATAAGCTTACACGTCAGTGGACATTTTGGTTGCTTTAAACAGCATGAGGAAAAAGTTACTGCAGCTATTTTTCCAAAAATCAATACCCTATCAACCTGCAAAACAGATATTAAAGTAGCTAAACAGTATATTAAGTTTTAAAAATTATCATTACAAAAGGGAAGCCATATCCTTCCCCCAAGAACTTGTACTAGATAGTCATAGACAGATCTAGATGTAATAGATAGATCTTTTAAGAAAAGATCTTTATTTTCCAGTAACAGGCCCACATTGCAAGTTTTCAGAAAAGCACTAGGTGGAGTTAAAATATTTCAAATTCCTTAAAAGATCTTAAAGTTTCATTATCATGGGGGGGGACCTCAATAAAAAAATTCTAAAAACCTTAGTTACATAGGATAATTACACAGAACCACCATGATTTTTCACAAATGAATAGGTATTGGTTTAGTGCATCAACTGAAAAAACAAAGTTTAAATATAAATAATTTTTAAAAAAAACAGTCAGAACTTCCAATTTTAAGACAAAATCAAGACCTTTCTGTTTTCTTTCCTTTAAAACCAACCCAAATTAACAAGAAAAAGAACCAGAATCACAAAGCCCACTTTGATTTTTTAAAAACTGAAAAATAAAAATGAAAAGCCAAGTCATCTATGCCTAATTCAAATTTAAGTATAATCAAAACACTCTAATAAAATTCTTAAGGCTGACCATATTTACCCAGGTTTATGTCTTGGGCCCTTAACCATCAGGCCTCCATCCACAGATCTTTTTGCAAGAGCATGATCTTGGCTGGGGTCTACAAACTTGAATACATGTGATGCTCCAAACTGCACTTTCATGCCACTCTGCAGCATGGTGGTCTCTGAGATGCGCTGGCCTTCTACGTAGGTCTCTGCATCTATACTTCTGGGAGTCACAGTGACCACTCCATCCATGTTGGTGAGGTCACAGTGGTGGGGCTGAATTCCTGGGCCAAACAACTGAAAACAGAAGGAAACCAAAGACACTCCCAACTTGAAGTATATGGTATTTAAAAACGGAATTTTAAAACTGTGAGTTACTGAGTTACTGTTTTATGATAAATATGATAAAGTTTTGCATTTTTGATTCTTTTTAAAGTGGATTTCCCCCTACTAACATAAAAATAATTAAACACTGTCAAAATATTAGATATTTTATTTTTAGCATTCAATAACTTAAGACATACTGTACTCTGCATGAAAAAGCATATAGTCATCTACACAAACATTTATTAGGTAATTAATGAACAAATCTATACAGATCATTATGATCAAAAATTCCCATTTATCTGTTTTACTGCTGTGGTAAGAATGAAAAAATGGTAGGAATGAAAATGACTAATAATTTGAACCGATCATTTTAAAATTGAGTAAGTACACAGGAAGGGTGGTTTACCTGAGTTCAACTTCAAAGAAGTGACAAATCCTGTCCTCACTTATTCAAAGAAGGTGTTATGCTCTGTTTTAAGTACTTGAGAACCCTACACAGCTGACATTTTAACTAGAATTTACTGAATGCGTACTGCTGTGGGTGTCAGACCTACTGACAGGCACTTTTGCATAAGGTATCTCCTTTAATCCTGAAACAGACCTATAAAATTATCATCACCATCTTTGGAGAAAAGGAAACTGTCTTGAAAGCATGTCATCACCAGTTTCTAGAGGTGGAACTTGGACATAAGTTCACAATCTGCTCTTTTCACACTACGGCAGAGAAAAGTGGCCAGAGTAGATAAATTATTTATAATTTAATGCAAAGTCTGTGGTTTTTACTCATTCATTCACTACCATGTGGCAGGCTCTTTGATATGTGCTATTAAATGAAGAATCACAGAAGGAAGCTTAGAGCTGCAGCATGACTGCGCACCTGGATAGAGCTGTCATCGAACTTTTCTGTCCCAACTTCAGTAACACTTAATTGAAGACGGTAAAGCTTTGGCTTATCTCTGGAATCAGAACCATCTGCGAGAAGAGAAGGAAGAGAGCTCCATTTGCAAAGTCTAATGTTCTTGCCATGTTTTTTGAAACAGTTATCTCAGAAATGACACTAAAGTTCTCACTTCTCAGGATTTCTTTTCAAAGAGTTCTCCAAACTTATGTCATACAATTTAACAAATTGGATACAGAAAATTCAAATTAAGAAATAAACACATCAGCTTCTGTTTAATATAAAGTGCTAACACTATCATTAATTCCAACATTTTCCTATTACATAAAAACAGATTTTCTCTAGCACACTGTCCTGGACTTGTGTTAATGATTCTGAGGAGCAACTGTACTTGCAAAATGAAGATCATCAAAGATACGTGGACCTTCACTTCAGGCCAGATCTTTCTTAGGGTAAGCCTGCTGCCTGACTGCATGGCACAGCAGACTGATGCGGCATGGCTGCATCACTGATGGAAGTCATAAAGTGTTGTCCTCAGAGTTCACTCTGCAGCTTCTGGATCAAAACCTCTGGGCATGAGGCCTAAGCAAGTGTCTTCTGAAAAATCTCTTAAGTGATTCTCATGTCCATTACTGACTGAGAATTACGGTTAAAAGTGCTTAGCTCCCTGGAGTGGAACTCGGATGAAGGGCAGAAAGAAAGACTGGGCATTTTTGTTGGTTTTTTTTTCCTATTATTTTATACCTATATGAACCATTGAAATTTTTAATCTCCATGAGCATGAGTTTCTACGATGGGTGTGAGGAAGAGGAGAAAGAAGAAACAGCCGTTCACACCAGACACGCTTACACATTTCTCCCCTACTATACCCAGCTAACACGAGACGACATCAACTGAAGGCTTCTTCTAGTTTAGAGTTGTTAAAACATGAGAAAATGTGCCTCCCAGAATCAATGGACCATGACACAATCTCAGAGTTTAACATCTGTGCCACAGCCATGACATTCAGTCTAGTGCTGCAAATACACCAGAGTTTCCTCAGGAGGTTGAGGGAGGAGAGTCTCCCTGGCCCACTTCCTGACTGCCTGATAACTTTCAGAATCACTTATGTGGCTAGTAAAAGTCTCTAGTCCCTGGGATCAGGAATGCACATCATGAGAGCTTCACAAGTTAAACGTTTTAGAGCGTATGAGCGTGTACACAGAGTATAAGAGACTGCTAAAATATCTCAGCTGTGGTGTGGTCTGAACTCACAAACAAAAGATACCATGAATAAGCAAGTTCTGTTAGAAATGATTAACTTCAACTGGTTCTTAATTTTAGAATATACAAAGTAACACTCTAATGACAAAATTCCCTATTTCTGAAATAATTCAGTAATCTGTGACATGTGGGTGAGGGCAAGATGAGAATGAAGTGTTTGAGAGACACCAATACCTAATATGCACTAAAAATTTTATTCATTTTCTGTTTTGCTTCATATCATGTTGGAATATTTTACTTTCAACTCAAACTGTACTTATAAAGTCCTGATCAAATGAGACATCAACGTCATCTGGGACTTTTCTTGGACGTGGGCAGCTCCGCTCCAGACCTGCTGAGTCCAAACACCCAGGAATGCTCACCACCCCATTTTTTTTCAACACCACAGGCGGCTATAACAAACCCCTGGTTAAGGAAGGTGTCAACCACATCTTATGATGGCTTCTATTCACTCATCTGCTCATCTCTGAGCCCCACGTTGCTAGTCTGTAAACATCTCTTTGCCCTGACATTTAGCACTCAGCATATGGTCCACAGTATGCAACCAATAAAGATTTAATGTGTTAACAGCGAATAATTATACTAAAAATGAAGAAAATAGAAAAATGCAACACAGTCACACAGAAATTACACAAATAAAATTATGAAGAAAGCAAAAAGGGCAAATAACCACATGTGAGACAAGAACAATTATCTCACTGCAAAGTTAAAAGTGTAAGAACATGAAAGATATGTCTGATTAGCAGGGAAAATTCACAATAATATTCATCTGATTTTGAATGCTTCTGAAAGGTTTCTTGTGAGCTCACAGATACTACCTACCTTTCTACATCAACAGATTTAGAAATATAAAAGGGAAAGATACAAATTGCTTTCCCATTCTCTCCTTTCTTATCACGTCACTACAGTAATAGAAATCTATCAATACACTGATTAGAAATAAACTTTCTTCCTAGTCTCTCTCTTCTTACTACTTCACAATAATAATAGAAAACTACTGATAAAGCTTTGATAGATTCTGAGGACCCTAAATGGTGGTCACAGGATTCAGTAGATAAAATGGTGTTTGGCTTGAGTTGGGGACGGGAGGGGAAAAAAGGAAGGTGGACAGGCAATGATTAAATAAGTGATGTCTCCTTTCTCCTTGTAATAGTCCATTTCTGTCGCCTTACTGAAAGTATGATGATCATATCACAGGCAGTAACAAACATACAAAATTGTTACCTAAAACCAAAATTCCAAATTTTCTCCCCTTCATCAGCAGGTATCCTACAAATGGTCAATTTTTGCCCAAAGTGCCTGAGTACCTTTCTTCCCCCAGTAGATAACTACAATGAATCTCTAAAAACCTTTAAACCATTAAAACCTTTAAACCTTTGAAAGTAGAGACAAATTTTCTCTAAGTAACCCGCCACATACAATAGTACTTCTATCAGAAAGTTGTCTTTAATATTCCAGATATGAAGGGGAAATAGACCAGTATGAACAGAACCCAAGACAATCTTAAATGACACTTGGGTCTGCACCCTACAACAACTCTAATATAGCCAAGTCTGCATTTGCCTTCAGTTGCTTCCCAGGGTAAAAATAAAAGAAGCAAAACAGCTTCCAGCAAATGAAATGAATTCTGGACATGGAACACTTACTAGGTCAAATGAAATGATAGTGCATTAAATTTCTTAAAGTAAGTTATTTATATCAATTTAAAAACTGATACATTAAACACATGGTTGGTCAACATCATTTTGCCCGTGAGGTTGTTAGTGCTCTAGTTACAAAGTAGTATTAAGAATAGCATTACCTTCGTAAGTGTGATAGTTGTAGTAGGCAAAGTGATTCCTTCTCCCTGGGGTTTAGACACATGCCAGGACCCAGGTGAAGGCAGCACCAGCGGGACAGAGACCATGCAGAACACGTGGAAGAGGGAAGGAGGAGAAGAGACGCAGAGGGTGAACTTCAGTGAGATACGTTTCAAAGGAAGAAAAGGTAATTTTCCCCATCAGCTTTCAGGGCTGTGAGGACAAGACTATACTAGTGCCCCAGTCAATGTTTTAGAAACCGGTGCAGACTGTTAAGGAAAAGAGCAGGACAACAGGTGAGTCACCAAGAAGCAGGACAGCAACAGTGAGTTAATTATATGGAGGACTACCACCGCATTTGGCACTTTCTTCTGTTTAAAGAACACATTCAAAACCAAAGCAAAGAAAAAATTAACATCTTTACTTCCCATTCCTCGAAGAGACAATGTAAACACATACCCACAGCTCAAAAACCTCCCACCCACACCCAGCAGGACCTCAACACTGAGGATATATGCTTGTTTGACAATGTGCCCAGTGAAAATACAGTGCTTATCCATTCATCACACATCAATATGAATGAATATTATTTTCTTGTAAATAGAAAATAGATCAGTTTCATTCGGCATGCTGACAGCGAGCAATTCACAGCAATGAAAACCTAAAGAGACATCATGACCTACTGAAAGAATACAGCTTTGGTACAAGAAAGACCCTGGCCTTGCACCCAACCTGCCATCAACCCGCTGTACACCCTTCAGATGGAGGTAACAGAACCAAATTTCAGGCATTTGTGCAACAAGTAAAGCTATCCTGCTGGCAGCCCAAAGACTCAGGAGGCACCAAAGGCAGAGGCACTCATCATATTGTACTGTGATATCTCCTGGTGTGTGAATTACTTGAAGGCAGGAACAATTCTATTCACCTCTGTATCCACTGCTTTGCCTAAAGTATGTCAATAAAGGTTGACTAAGGGGAGCAGAGCTGTGAGGGAAGGAAATACACTGATAATCACGTAATATACGCTGTTGCCAATATCTGGTGAAATGTAGTAGAGAACTACTACTTATCTAGGGTCTATTATCTTCACACACCTACAAAAAAACCTTCTATATATGTGATTACCTGAGAGACTGCAAGTATGAAATAAGCAGTCAAAATAGCAATTCTCACTGGAATATAAATTCCCACAGACAGGGGGTCTAATCTATTGTCTAATCTATTATGTCCAAGGCCCAGAACAGCACCTGACACATAATTGTCAAGTAAGAGAATGAATGAATGAATTCCCCTCCTGTCTCTGCTATCCACCAAAGTCAACTTTCCATTATTCATTTGAAAATTATTCTGTCAGCTGCTATTTATTAATTTCTCCAAGGGCTAACACTAACCAATCTCCCAAAATTTGAATTTGGCAAAAACAATCATTAATTTCCAGCACTTAATGCAAAATTTTAAAGGTTAGACCCGATGCCCGGAAAAGATCTTAGAAAGTTTTAGGTTCAAAAACAAATGGCTGTCTCACTGTTGCTGCTCATTACCTCAGCTAACCAAGCAGCAATGCACTCTCACACTTTACAGATACACAATAATACTAAGACATTGTTTCCACACTATGGTGAGAAAAAAAAACTTTCAACAGACTTTCCAGCCAGAGAACTGAGGGACAAAGCAACGCTAATATATTTATTCCTCACAAACTGCTAATCGATTTAAACAAAGTCCTCAAATACAATTAAATATAAAAATGATGATCTACATCCATTAACTAGAGCATCATCAAAACAATACCATCATTTCCTGTATCAATATAACTGACCTGTACCATAAGACTGTTAGACCAAAAATACTGTATCTAATCATTAGTTAATTATAATAACTTACTTAGCTGTAAGAAACTAAACTAACCTTGTAAATAGAAATAAACATGCAAGAATCAAAGAAGACAGTAAGATAATTTCTGCCCAAGTAACCATATATTATCTACATAACTGGTTCACTTTCCTGCAAATTTTTTCTGAAATTACAAATTGGCTTTATTTAAAATGCAGTTTGGGATGCAACACTCAGATCTTCATAGCATTTTACAACACAGGTCACATGATACTGTTTTGATTAAATAAGAAATGACAATTAAATAAAACAAATGTCATATATAGCATATATATATATATATATATATATGCAAATATACATGCTACACAGGGATGTATGTGTATATAAAACATTTAAGAAATCTACCTGATAGCTAACTTATGACAATAGCTTTACCTTATTAGACCTCTAGAAACAGAATATTTAGAAAACTAATATGAAAATAAACTAAGTCTGTTATTTTAAAATCAAATGGCCTTCCTAGGATAGATTTCTTAGATGTACTGTTAAATTTAAAGACATTCTTTTTTAGATATTGTTCATACATTATAAACAACAGTATGATTACACACACACGTGCACATGCCTGTATTAAATCTGCCCTAGGAGGAGTAAATTTCAACTTGCCATCTTTAGTAGATTAATTATTTCACTGAAGTTACTTTGGAAAATAATTTTTAAAAGGGAATGGATCACTTAAAATGCTCCTAAAACTCACTATACACTATTTTTAATTTTGTTTCTTAATACTCATTTTTGTCCATGTAAACTTTATTTTTATACATGAGTGTATGTATTCTATGACCAACTTGTTTTTTAAATAAATGTCATCTTGTGAGGGTTACTGTTTTTTAAAAAACAAATGGTCTAAAAATATTAAGTCGACCAACAGAAAAGCCACTTTAACAAGATGTATTAAAAAATACAAACATTCAAAGCTAAAAATGCACATGTATAATTTTTCCTAGTATGACCAGCTTTCTCACCTGGGCTTAACTCTACTAAATAAGGCAGCTTCTCAGGGGGAAGGGCAGAGCCACTGCCCGCCCCGTCAGCTCTCTCCTTTCCCTTCAGTGGCTTCCCTTCGACGTGCTTCTTCATTCTCTTTGGGAGGTAGTCTGGTGGTCTCCTCTTCAGCTGGAAGACTAAAAGGCCTGGAACAGTAACACTGGATATCATCAACCAGACTCAAGTTGGTATGGATGGCTAGCTGACTGGCAGTTATCTACTAGAAGATGTAATTTAAAAATATCTGCCCAGGGAATAACTGAGTGAAAACTTACCCAATAGAGGTAATATTACTCAATAGAGGAAATATTAGTTTCTTGGTATGTTCTGAAAAATTCTAACAAGCAAATTTCCAAAGATCATTTTAACTTAACAGCTACCCAAGACATCATAGGTTTGAAAAATAACACATCTGAATGCGTACATTTATAAACAACTCTGAGATCAATAAACATATTCATACACACACACAAACACATATACGCACAAATATAAATATACAAATATATTTTTAGTTAATCTACTTTTTATTTAATTCAACTGAATTAACTCAGAATTCAAAATAATTTAACTTTAATCAAGTTCAACTTTATACTGTCTAGAAAAACGGTAATAAACAAGCATTTTAAGGAGACTAGAAATTTGCTTACCGAGTAAGATCTTTTTTGATATTTTAAAACTACCAATCTACATTTAATATTGATATGTTTAACTGGCAATAAATTTTCATGTCTTTATTAATGCAAAGGCCCTCTACTGAGCAACTGTTAACTTATGATGTGAATGTGAAAGTAAGAAAACTATATTTCATCAAAAACACAGCTTTAAATTTTCGCTGCTTTGAAATAATGAGGGGAAATGTTTGAATAGTACAAAGTGTGGTGAATTCATTATTTGAAATGACTAAAGAACTGGATAATTGTTAAGTTTGTAGGTTATTTTCCCTATCATGACAAATTTGTCCAAATAGCACACGTTTCATCAGGTCATATGAAAGATGTCCTACTGCAGGCAGGTGACAGTGACATTGCACTTCTTGATATACTGCTAACATTCTGGGTTCTCCAGGAGATGCAGTCCTCACCTGTGCTGTGACTTTGTTCAAGGCCTAGGCATGAGATTCACACAAGCTGAGTGTGGCCCTAGGGAGAAGACAAGGGCACCCCCTAGGAACCATCCAACAAGTCCAGGAAGGAGGCAGAAAGTTGTACAGCAAACAGAACACGTCTCCTACACTGTCTGCTAACTTCAACAACTGGTATATCATGTAGAAATCTAACACATTATAGAAGTAATTCTTTAACAAATGAGATTACTCCTTACCTTTGTCACTTGGCCATTCTCTGAAGATTTGTAAAGGACACTCATCATCATCAAGAATAATTTCTTTAGCACCTTTCTCATCACAGTGCTGGGCTCCAGGAGGAAGCATAACCTGAAAAAGAAAATAATTAACTGTGAATATACTAAAAAGTAAATTAGCAAGTATTTAAAAGAAAAATCATTGTTTTTGAATGAATAAAAGAAGTCATTGTAGGAGCTGGCTGGTTAGCTCAGTTGATTAGAGCATGGTGCTGATAACACCAAGGTTCATGGTTCGATCCCTGTACCAGCCAGCTGCCAAAAACAAAAACAAACACACAGAAACAACAAAAAAAGAAGTCACTGTAGCATTAAATTGATCAAGCTCTACAAACAATTCTCACCATCAAAAAAATCACTAACAAAACTGAAGGAAAATAGCTTACAATAAAAAGCATAGTCAGCTGATTCGGCAGTTTTTATTTACTTGGACTCCACAGAGAACTAGTCTGAGTACTTTTATTTTTAACAAACTGTAGTGGTTAATTTCTGAGTAGTTTCTTAGGGAAAGATAATTTAATGCAAATTTCAACCTTTCTAGTCCATAACCCACCTTTTCACATCAAACAATTGTTTTTATAAAACATTTAATACAATATAAGATTTCTTAGGATAACTATCATGCAACGAAAAACCAGAATAGTTTTCTTTTTCTTACAGAAAATCTGCTTTCTGACTAAATTTTATTGTTTTATTCTGGGTGGTAGGCCAGTATGGGGACCTAAACCCTTGACCTTGGTGTTATCAAAACTGCATTCTAACCAACTGAGCCAACCAGTATGATCAAATTTTACTCAGACCATTTAGATATATTACAAGGCCATTCATTCATTCATTCAACAACTGTTCTTAAGCAACTATTTAAAGATATTGTATTCACTATTCTCTTAAAATTCATAGTGTTATATTACTTTTCATTGTATGTTTTCACTATAGCCAAACAATTTTCTTAATTGTCTAAGAAAGCCCCAAGAAATACTGTATCAGAGTAAGGTAGGAGATGACAGTTGTCCAATAATCTTATGTACTATGCTGGGCTCGTGCTCTATCTTCATTCTGATTCAGTATTAACACTAACTATAACACAACTGTAGAAAATATAAGCCAAGCCATTGGCATCTGAACATTATTTTCAACATCTTGTTGATGTAATAATGTTACCTTAATAGACCTTAATGTCACCAAATGTATCATCATGCTCATATACCAGATGGGTTAGACTCCTCTACAGAACCCTGCAATTCCTCTCTATGCTACTTCAAATTACCTTAAAAAAGACAGTTATCAAAACACACATGTATGCTAAATTAATCAATCTTTCTTCACAGCATTTTGTATTAACTCCAGTTTCGTAGCTTGGAACATGTACTACTTCAGAATCTGACCTTCACTCATCTCTTTAGTCTCAATCTTTGCGACGTACCTTTAGAGCCAAGCCTCGTGGTAGTGCTCAGAGTTCTCAGTGTAGGGCACGTATTTCATGTTCCCATACCCTTCTTGCGGGAAGAGCCCTTTCCTCACGTTTTGTGTCTAGCTAACATACATTCATCCTTCAGTTCGAGCACAGCCCTCTCCTGGAAGGCTCCGCTGACCTCTGTTCTAATTTAAAGCTCCTGCTTGCACTGCTATTTCTTGGTCTTTCTGTCTCCCTTTATTAGAAGCTCTTTTAAATAAGTTATTAAATAATTAATAAATAAAACAACAAATAAATGAAGAATACAAAACAACTACAGCTTATGAGATGGCAAGCAGAGAAAATAAAGAATTTCTAATTAAAGGTAAAACAATAATCAACTCTTGATTTGTATTGCCTAAGCTTGCAAAAGAAAATTGGTAAGGAAATAATAGAGAAGAAAACCAGAACTACAGGAGACCCTCAAAGAAATCATCAAATGATCTCATAAGGAACTGTCCATAAAAGCCCAAACTAGGTTTTTATAACTTCATGATGCTGATTAAGGTGTTCTTTCACTTACTGATTTTCATGAGTAAAAATGAGCCAGAAATCATTGGAAAGACAAAACTGTTATAAAGCTCTTTATCATATACCATATCATATGCAATACTGTAGAACTGATTATTACTAGATTTATATACACTTCAGTAAAAAACATTCCCTTAGCAAACACTTGAGAAACACCAGGTATCAGGCACGATGCTAGGCATTCTTACACTTCCTGCCCTCAGTGTTCACAACCCCAGAGGGGACACGGCTACAAGAGGATCAGGCCTCTGTTCAGTAATGCAGACTCTATTCACATTACTGTTTCACCGATACTATTTTGACTTAGAAACTTTTACAGCAGTTACTAAGCAATTGTAAGTATAAGAAACACTTACAAAATCTGTCATATCCATGGACTTAAATATTCTATAGGTGAATTATGTCTCCCATACATATAATAATGCTTGCTATCTATTTTTTCTGAATAGAAAAGCAATAATGTCATAAATCCCAACATCATATACAATATGACTCTCCTCTACTTCATACTAAACTGCCAGGAGGAAAATGCACCGGAATGTCCTCTATCTCAAGTATTTTTCCTTTAGAATGACTAATTATCTTGACTTTCCAAACTTACCCCACCAACATCCCCACCCCAGTATGGCAGAATTTCAGCTTGTGACACTGTTTACCTATGAACCCTACTATTTAAAAGTCCAGCATACAATTTTTTTGTTTCATTTCTGGGAGCACTTTTTTTTTCCTTCAAATGTATCAATACTATTTCTTACTATTTCCTACCAAACAAACTCTAAAGGAATAAAAAGGTGCATCCAATTTACAAATACCCATGTTAGAAATCTTCCCCCATTCCCACAATAAAATGAACTTTCCTCTATTTTTTCCTGATTCTGAATAACACAGGCTCATAGTAAAAAACTCAAATACAGATAAAGTACGAGGAGAAAAGAGTAAGAAAACAACTGTGAGATAATTACATCTTCATGACCATGCTTTCCATAATCACCCTATGAGTGTATTTGATGAGGGGCTCATATCTTACTCGTGTACTATAGTTTTAAGTCTCCTTTCCTTCTCTCCTCCCCCTGCTTCGGCAGTTTATAAGCTGGCGTGTATCTTTCCTATGCATTTAACTTTCTCTATGCTCATGTATACACACATAAAGCATTTTGTTGTTTGGTTTTATTTTGTTTATGGTGATTGCTGTATAAAATGTATATTTATAAAAACAGAGTACTGTATAAAATGTATATATCTCCAGGTCAACTAGTATAGATTTAATTCATAACCTTGCAGGACATGATAATCAGTGGTATGAGCATTCCTTAATGATAGGCTTGCAGTTTGCTTCTTGTTTATTGCTATGCACACAATACTGAAAAAAAATCCTTACAGAAATACACTCAGGAATTTACTGGATATTTGTTTATCTTAGATATGACAATTAATACTTGCCATCATATTTCTAAACAATATTCTTTATTGCTATTTATTTTCAGCTGTGGACATTATCATCACGCTGAAGTGAGTGTTGTCTCTTTCCTGGACTACTCCAACATTCTGCTGGAGAATGTCCTCTACTGCCTTTTCAGAAATTCAGAAAGGATGCATGGGAGGTAAATGTCTGATTTGCATGTTTTGAAATGTCTTTCTTCCATCCACCTAACTTGATAACTTCTGTCTCTCCATTTCTTCTTTTCTCTGGCTTGTCCTCCTTTAGTTAAATGTTAGATATTCTAAACTGATAATCTCAATTTCTTACCTTTTCTCTGTTACTTCCTTTTCATTACATATTCGGTAGCTTTCATTATCTTCCACCCATCTTATTAACATTTCCCTCCTCTATCCCTTATTTATATTTTTTAATTTCCAAGAGCTCTTTCTCTGCCTGTTCCTCTTTATATCATTCTGGTCTTATTCCATGAATGTACTATCTTCTTTCTCTCTCTGAGTCTCTCAGTTTTTTGAAGACTTCCACCTGCTCTCTCCAGTTTCCCCCTTTTATCTCTAGTACTTTTATTTGTTCGTATTGGTCTGTCCTCATTTTAAAGGTGTTTTTCAAATGTCTGTTGAATGCTGGGTATCCACTCATGCTTGACAGTGAGTCTCAGGGAAGCTGAATGTAAGGTCTATACATATGGGCAAAGATCACTGTTGGCAGGCTCAGAGTGAGGTTACCAGACTAGAACTTCCAAAGGCTGGTTTACATACAGACAACTTTCTTCTTTTGCCAGCAAGTGCCTTCTGAGAGGCATTCATAAATCTTCTGGCCATCAGTATTCTGGGTATACCCTTTCACTTCGTCTTCCTGTTTTCAGTAAAGACCCTTGTCACCCTCTGCTACACCTGTTACTTCCAAATCTAAGGCCTCCCAAGTTCAATACCTCATCTCCCCCCATCATTGTTACTCCAGCCTTCAGTTGGGCAGATGACATGGTATAGTTGGGATAAGGAAGGGGATCTGGTGGGGTCTACTACTTCTCATAGAAACTTTCAACCCAATTTTCTCTTTTCAGCCCAATATCAATACTGCCTTAGAAAGTACTGAAAGCCTCTAGTTCCTGAGTGTTCCTGGGGTTGTGACACAGGCATTTGTTGACTTTGTCCTAAGTTAGAGACCACTCGTTCACATCTACAAGATTTCACTGACAACCCTCATCAGCTCTCCTCTCATTCTCTTTGTTCTTATGCATTTAAACAATTTTTTTACTCCTTTATTGTCATTTTAATGGGAAAAAAATATCTGTTTTCCCATCTACTTTCAGTTGAAAATTGGGATATATTCATAAACTTACAGATCTACTAGTTTTTCCAAATGAATATAACTTCTTAGCTTTTCAGCAAAAAGATAAAAAGCCAAACTCAACCACGCTCTTTTATTTTATTCTGTTTGTATCTAACAAAAGAGAGGCAAAAGACCTCTAAGCTGAACACTACAAGACACTGCAGAGAGAATCTGAAGAACTGAATGAAGAGCTACACCCTGGCTCAGATTTGAAGACTGAACACTGTTAGGACGGGAAGTCTCTTTAAGTTCACCTGCAGATGTAAACCCAGTCACAATTCCAGCAGGTTTTGTGTAGAAACCAACAAGCTGATTCTAAAATTTAAATGAAAACACAAGTAAGCTAGAATAAACAATTTTTAAAAGCAAAAACAAGAAACAAAATTGGTACTTACTCAAAGTCATTATGCTGTTAAAGAAGTCAAGCAAAGAGTACATATTATATGATGCTGTTTATATAAAAATTCTAGAGAATGCAACTAATCTATGGTAACAGAGAGCAGACCAGTGTTTGCCAGGGGATGGAAGATGGAGGGAGGGATGGGTCACAAACAGGAATAAGGAAACTTCTGAGGAAGAAAATGCTCATTGTATTGATATGTCAAAACTGATGGAACTGCAGACTTTAAATATGTGTAGTTTATTGTACTTTATTCCTACATAATTTTTTGGGGGGGCCATTAAAACAAACAGTCACCCTCATTCAATCATCACTTGCTAAGATGAGAGAAAGAGGAACATCTTTGTTCCAATATCTACTGTCAATTGAGATCCTCAAAGAAAAATAGTAAGAATAAAGAAGTTAGCATATAACTGTGACTGACTTAGAGATTAAGAATTTTCCACATAGTTTATTACTCAGAATAGAAAACTTGCTTGATTTTACTTAGTGTTACCAAATCAATTCTGAGGCATAAAATTTCATAAAATTGAGTACTGGTTTCAAAGATATATTCTTTAGCTCTAAGAAAGTATAGATGATTATTAAAGCAGATTTTACTACAAATAAAATTAAGTTACTTACACATGCAAAGTAACAATTAGAAGGATGTATATCAAAATGTTACTGGTGTGGTTATCCTTTGGTAGTAAAACTACAGGCAATTTTTATTTTCTTCAATTTGCCTTTCTATACTTTTCTTATTTTATAAAAAGAACGTATATTACTTTTGTAAGGGAAGGGACATAGCTGGTTTTTTATATATATATTTAACACATGATTTCAGTTTGTCAGATTATAAATGTTACAGTGGGGAGAAAAACAAACTAGGTTAAATCTGATTTAAAGAGCATCTTTCCATTTAAATGTGAAGTCCTAGCATGTGTAACATTGGTAAGAACTATTGATTTGATAAAGTTATTACCCGGGCAATGCAGTAATCCTTAGGATTTTCTTTTTCCAGACCATACTTCTCTAAAGCTTCAGCCACAGCAAAGTCTGCAGGATCTGTAGTAGACAGCAGGATTGTCTTGTAGGGAATGTTTGGTTTTAAACTATCTGCATAAATTCTCAACGTTCCACCTGAAAAAACATTTTGACAACTTTGAGCACAACTTTATTTTACACCAACAATAGAGATAGCTAACATTTAGAATCACTTTAGAAAAAGACACCTGAGTTCCAGTTGCAGTAAGTGCAAACATGAAATTTGCAAAACTCTATTTTCATTTCCTGTTAGATGACGTACATTAGGAATAACTGATCAGTCTCGTGACACTTTGCTACAGTGAAAAAGCCATAAGTCTGCACGAAAGACTTAGCTTAGTTTTTCATTTTTTTCTGTTTTCTTTGCTGATTCCTCTTAACAATGGCTTTCTCTTAAGTTTCTGTATTCCCTGTATAATTTCCACCCAGCAAATGTCATCCATACCCAGTGATACTGCTCCCAACCACACAGATCACTCCCAAATCTTTATCTACATCTGACACTGCTTAGCAGTGCTCACACTGAGAGTCACTGAATTTACGTGTCATATGACACATGTAAAATGAAACCTATGTTCCACCCCCAAGAATTCTTTCGTTCCACAGTACATCAACACCCACCCAATTAAAAACAGGCTGTCATCCTGAACACCTACCCTCCTTAGTAAAATCCAGCTCATTACCAGTTCCTGATAATTCTACTTCTTAAACATTTCTTCAGTCCTTTCTCTCTTTACGTCAATGACTGAGATCAGAGTCCCTTTACTCCTTATACAGGCAATACAGTACTTTAAATAGGCATGCCTGCTTCTAACTGCAATTTCATCATATCCATTTTCTACCCTGCTTCCAGAGTAATCTGTCCAGATCTGAAGACCAGGCTAAGCTGAAAGCTTCCTAAACTGCCAGCTCAATACTCTTCAGCAACTTATTAACAAAGCATATCAAATTTTTCCATCAAAGTATACAATGGCCATGGAAAATAGATATGGATATCTGAAGGCATGGGCTAAGTGACATGCAAAAGGCTTCCTATTTTATCTTAAAAATACACATATTTGTTGCATTCTAGTCTACACTAAAACATACTTCATTATAAAAATATTTTATTAAGTTACTTATAAAAATTGATACTCTAAGGGCTTGCCGGTACTCGGTTGGTTAGAGTGTGGTACTGATAACACCAAGGTCAAGGGTTCAGATCCCCTTGCTGGCCAGCCACCAAAAATAAGTAAAAATTGGTACTCTAAGCAAGCTAGTTATCTTTATCATGATTCACATACCCCTGGCCCATACTTGAATATTCCTCAAGGGAATCATGAATTCATCTTCAGAAATTCATCTCAGTAAAAATGTCAAACTCCTTCCCACGACACACAAAGTGCCTTCAGGTCTGGCATGTGGTTAGCACATGTCGGTATTTCTGAGCATTCCTCTAGTCCTTTTTAAAATTTTTACTACCTTTCTTTTTTATATTCTCTCCGTCCTATTTTCTTTTCCCTTCCTTTATTTTTTCCCTTTAGGGGGTGCGTGTGTGCATATATTTATAAATTTCAAATCCTTGACAGAACAAGATTCTATAAAGAATCACCTGGGTCTCAAAAGTAATCTATTAGAACGTTTATGGAAACAAGAAGTCCCTCACTCTCCTGGTTTCACCAACACTACAATTCCTGTGAAATACATAACTAAAACTCAGTTACAGGGAGCTAAGGGTCAAAATCAACACACAATGCTAGAGTGGCACGTAAGCTTCAGGAGCAGCTTCCCTCACAGCTAGCGTCCGTCTGGAATGCTACACTGAAACATCATAAAGTCCTGTGTATGCTCAGGGAGAATGGAGTGCTCAGCAATTTCTGTAATAGAAACAGAATCAAGTCACCATGTAGCGTGATGTGGAAGTCTTATTTGGATCCCAACTTATATAAATTATCTGAGGCAATCAGGAAAATTTAAACAATGACTACGTAAATTCCTGATGTTAAGTAATTACTGCCAATTCTTTTATATGTAATGATGGTACTGTGTTTTTTTGTTTTTTTTTTAAGAACCTATCCTTCAGGAAAATATACCAAATATTTATAGATTAAAATAATAAGAAGTTTGAGATTTGTTCCAAAATAATTATTTGAAAATGGGAGCAATGTATGTTGTAGTAGAGAAGAAACACAACTTGTTAATTATGAATACCTGGTGATAGGTACCTGAGGGTTCATTATATCTTTCTCTCATATATGTTAAAGTTCATTATATCTTTCTATCTTATATATTTGGAATTTTCCAGAATTTAAAAAAGAAAAAAGAAAGAAAAGAGTCGTATGGAAGAAAAATATGTAACTAAACGTATCTCTATGTGAACAGAACTCTTCACCATAAGGCAAAACTGATTTTGTACTGGGCATACAGTACATGTTTATTTAAGAGTCTATATCACCTATTGCTTTAGTTAAGGAAGGCCTCATGCATATCTAAAAAGTGTAATTAAATAATACTCTTAACAAGAAATATAAGAGAGATGAACAATTCAATGTCTGCACCTGAATCAGGCCGCCCATCGGAGCTCCGAAACTCCTGCATTCTCTTTTCCAGTTTTTGTTGCCTCCGTCGTTTCATAACCACCTCGGGATTAGAAATTGTGCGAGTAAAGCTGGTTTCAGGCATGTCTTTGTAAACCTCAGCAGCCAGTCGAGAATTCTCACTGTAAGAGAAAAAAGCACTAACAACATTTAAAAGATCTTTTAATATTAGAAACAGATATTCTGTAATCATACAAAAATCAAAATCACAGATGTTATTTGGCTATATCTGTACCCTAATAGGTCTGTTGTGTACTACTTACCATGTACTAATTACTATGTGATAAGGGATATACAGTTTCTCTCAATACAAACTAATATACTAAACTAAGCAGAAATCAATAACTATAACTATTTTATAGTGACTTTGTATAACTTAATTGCTGTGTATTCATTAATAAAGCTAAAAGAAAAACACAGATTACACATTTCAGTAATTCCCACCAGTGTTATTCTAAAACAGACCAAATATTATTAAATATTAATATTAAATTAATATTAAATGTTATAAATGATATTATATCACAACATTCCAACCACAAGAAATAAATACAGGGTTGAATATACATTCATATAGAAAAACCTATCTTAAAATTATAGCAAATCTTGAAGATCCCAAATTAAACAGCATGATTTTTTAAAACCTAAAAGATTTACCAACATTTGCCTTCTTGAGATTAAATTTTCAAAAGGAAATTTCTCCACCTGTTTCTGTGAAGGAGTCAACTGTATAGAATGATGAGCCAAAAAATGAATATTAAAGTAAGACAGAAAAACTGGTATACTCAACTAAATTTTGATAAATATACTTTAAAGATATAATTTTTAACCATGAAAAAATTTAATAAAAAAATTCAAGCTTTTAGTCAATCAAGTTGAAATTTAACTCATTTTAAGTAGCTAATTTTCTAAATCACATATCACCCCATAAACTAAATTGATAAACAGAACAAGCCATAAAGCATAAGTTTTAAACTCTCCTTTTCTCTGATATTTTTCATATATGAGTAATATATCCATGAAAGTTTTTTCTCTTGTCTAACTACATTTAAAAAAAGCCTTATTATGGGCCGACCCTGTGGCTCACTCGGGAGAGTGCAGTGCTGGGAGCATGGTGGCGCTCCCACCACGGGTTCCTATCCTATATAGGGATGGCCGATGCGCTCGCTGGCTGAGCGCGGTGTGGGCGACACCAAGCCGAGGATTGTGATCCCCTTACCGGTCACAAAAAAGCGAAAAAACAACAACAAACAAACAACAACAAAAAAGCCTTATTAAATACTATACTCAAGTGACTACACAGGCTTCATTGCCTAATAGATTAATATCTAAGCTCATTTGGATACCATCCAAAATGGGCTCAAGTTCCACTCTAAACATTATTCACTGACAAATGTTTCATATCCTCAACACATACAGAACACTTAGAATCAATTAAAAAACAACAACAAAAGCTTAAAGAGGCTACCGCAACAGAAGAATACATATAGTTAAGAACATGTGGAAAGATATTACATTATTAATAATAATAAAAAACTTAATTTACGAAAGATATTATATGCTATACTGTATGTGACAGCTGTAATGCCCACGACCTGTGAGGGTGTAAGGAAAAGAGAGCTCTTGGGGGCTGCACAGGAGTAAGAGGCAGTGTGACAATGGGTTTGGAACACATTAAAGCATCCAAACACAGTCTGATAACCATTCTTCTAGAATACATGCTAAGGAAATAATCAGGTGAGTTTCCAAAGTTGTAAAACAAGGATATTCATGGAGCAATATTTACAGTACCAAAACAACTGTAAACAACCTACAAGTACACTAAAAAGGGACCACTTACATAAATTATGGAAGAACTATATGCTAGAATACCACACAGTCATTTTTAAATGTTTCTGTGAAATATATATATCTTAGTGAAAAAATATCAAGTGAAAAGTTCTAGTTCAAAAGACTGTGATATTTTTGTTTAAAACCTTCTATGTGGGCTGGCCCCGTGGCGCACTTGGGAGAGTGCGGCGCTTGGGAGCACAGTGGTGCTCCCGCCGCGAGTTCGGATCCTATATAGGGATGGCCGGGGTGCTCACTGGCTGAGTGCAGTGCGGGTGTCACCAAGGGTTGCTATCCCCTTACCAGTCACGAAAAAAGACAAAAAAAAAAAACCTCTCTATGTAAGCATATGAAGTGTATGCACTTAAGCAAACTAGATTATGGTAATCTTTGGGTTCAAGTGACGACAGGTGAGTTCTTTACCCTTTTTGGCAAATCTACATATTATGACTTTCTAAAATGAATGTATATTACTTCAGGAACAGAAAAGTAATATATAGAATACCCTGTTGTCAATACCAAGGCAACAGCACACTGCCTAAGAGCAAGCAAATGATAAGTAAATGAACTAACTAAACAACTTGAAAACTGTCAAGGGTGATCTAGGAACTAGAAACTCCACAAAAGGGGGACAATCCAGTTTCTCCTGATGTCTCGTTTCTGTTAAAATGAAAACACTGTGATTTCTCTTATTCCCTCAGCTCTGAGGTCGGAAGCTTATGTACCTTTAGACAGGGAAAGTACATCCACAATAGCATGCGAGTGACAGAAGAAGGAATGGGGGATGGGGCTGGAAGAAACCAGATGGTGCATTTGAACCTTAAAAGGGAGGTACTGCTTTTCTCCCTGGCCTTGCCAACCTGTGACCAGGAGTTAAGTGTACCTGAGGTAATACGTAAGAAACCACTGCTGCCTCTGGAACCAAAACCACAGAAATGAGAGAAAAGGACAAGCTGAAAATAAAGAGATCACTGGCATCAGTGGTCTACTCAGAAAAGACAATTAATATTGACCAGTTTGCTTATTTAAGACCAGCAAGACTGTGGCTGCAGAGATTCTTCCCCAGAACAGCGACAGGTGCTGGCAACATGAACCGTGCTTAGGTAAAAGTCCCTCCAGTCTTCTTAAACACAGAAGAACCAGAAGTATATATACCCAATACATTTCTTGACTGATATTCATCCTTCTCATAATCTTTCTGGTTTAATAAAACTTAACAAGTTTGCTGTGTTAAAAACATCTGGTTTGGAGCACAAAGTAAAAGGAATATTTCCAAAATTAACTTACATGTCATCCCCTTGGAAAGGTCTATCATCTTTATCAGATGCCTGCCTCAATGCCTCTTTTTCTCTCTTTTTTTTTTCCTTCTTTTCTTTCTTTGACAGAGTTCTCTTGAAGTTCTGAATAACACCTTCTTTTTCCTGCTTTTCAGGTCCGTTACTCTGAGTCTTCTGGAAAAAGTAACATTATCACCATGTTGGCTACTACAATGAATTGCATAAAGCTACCAAAAACTTAGCTAACCCCAGACAAAAACAAAGCTGCTGCACAGGGAAAGGCCTGGGGTGATGGAGATGCTCTTCACCTGGACGGAACGAGAGCTAAATGAGTGTACTCACCAAAACTAACTGAACTGTGCACCCAAGATCTGTGCATTTCAACATATATGTTTACTTCAATTTAAAACTAGCAAGCAAGCAAGCAAAAAACCAAAGCCAGTAAACAAAAAAAAACTAGAATGGGAATCATGAAATCTAATTTGCAAAAAAATAAAATGCTAAATAATCTACATAAAGTAACTTGAATAAAATGAATAATGAAAAAATAAAAATAAAGAACTTAAATCATTGTCTACTTTATAACTGTTTTTCTTTAATTTCAAAAGAAATGTTGAGAAGCCATAATAAAGTGGCTTTTATGAAGCAAAGTTATAAGTACTGTGTTTGTGCAAAAATTTCTAACCTCTTTTCCATATATTGTTTGCTTATTCTTAATTTATATTTTAACCTACAAACATGGCCTACTAGATGATGACAGAGACCCATTATTTTTTATGTATAATCTAATAGGTAAATAAGAGCACAGTAAAAAGTCAAGTCAAGAATTTATTTTATATATACATATATATATATGTATATATATATATATGGACTCTTCAACATGAACACTGACATCACATAAAATGAAAATATCCTAACACTAAAAGTGAATATAGACTTCTCCAGTCTATTGAGGAAAAAAAATTAAAGATTTTTCCTTAAAATATTCTTAACCCTTGCAACTGCTACCACTTGTTAATACTGAATTCTTGTGTGAGATGCCAGTTGATTGAGCATAAAATTATATAGTTATTTTCAAGTTACATCAATATCTCATAGTATTCCACAAAAGAGTAGGCACAGAAATTCCAGATATCCTACTACCTAGAAAGTTTTAGAATCATTCTATTATATCATCTAAAGAAATCCAAGAAAATTTACTGATTCCTAACTTTGCATATATAATATGAAGTTTTTAAATATGCTTTATTAAGTTGCATCTAAAAGTTCACATATAAGTAGGTTATCAAAGCTTTACTTTCCCTTTTGACTCTTAAGACAAGTTTAATTTTATAATTTAGAAAAAAATCGGAGCCAACTACTTGATCATTAAATCCCTCAGTATCAAAAGCTTATATAACTCTTCTTTGAAAAAGTAAGAAGCAATATCTGGGACTGATAGATGAATGCAGGATAAAGCAGAAAGAAAAGGATTACTCTTAAATTATTTTCTAGGATGAAGGTAAAAGAGTTTAGGAAAAGAAGCAAAAGAGAGAAGGAACTCCTATAACAAAACATCATTCTCCTATTTCAGTCAGACCTGGCCCTGGACCAAAATCAGCATGAGATACCGAGGACGCCTACCTTAGGAGGAATGATGTCATTCTCGTTCTTAAGAACAAATCTGCCCTCCCGATCATCTTTGTTCCAATTCAACTGCACAACTAGAGGTTTCTCATCTATATCCAATCTTCTTTCTTCTTCAAAACATGAAATGAAAAAAAGAATAAGCTGTGGTTATTTAATGGCACTAATACAGTATTTTGAGATACGTTTAATTTTAAAGACATAAAGTACTTTATAATCTTCAGTTCCTACTGACAGATTAAAATGTACTTATAAAAAATGTTAAATCAGACTTTCAACTAATTCAGTATTTTCTTGCTGCTATATGTGTATTACCCTGTAAGTAGTGCCAGACACTGACCAGGGGCAATTGCCTCATTTGGATCTAATTGGGAAAATGAAATATACATGAACTAGAAAAATAAGTACATGTGGTTTTGCTATTTCTGTAAATCAAATTATCTCATATGCAACTGGAATATAAGGAAATAATGTCAGTACAACATAGAAGTTCCACTGATTCATATGAGATGTTCTCATCACATTAATGTCATACCCTACCAAGAAGGGACAGCAAGCCACCATCAGTCTTAGAAGTGATTATTGCATTATTCTTCCTATCTCTGTGTATCTGATCATCTCCAAAATTTGCCACCTTCAACCCTCACATTCCCTTCCCCCATGAAGCTACCATCAATTTTTCTTTCTTATGGTGACATGCAATATTTGGTGTAGTATTCTTTCTTTCTTTATAAGAAACCTAACAAATCTCTCAGGCACACTCATCAAGAACATGGTACCGTACTGAGCAACTCCCCAGGAGCCCCGTACAGCCTGACCACCTACTAGAGGCCTACAGTTGGCTGGAGGCTGAAGAGAGAAGAAGGCACTAGAGGATGGACGTGCTCCTAACAGCTGAGACGCCCATTCCCAGAGTGGAGACGACTAAGGGAACAGGAGCAGCAGCTGGCTATAACTTGGAGGCTACAAGCCACACACACCAGTCAGGCTATATTCCCGAGGAATCCTCATCCCTTGAAGAAATCCTTCCCTGTGATCTACTTTTAACTTTTGTTAAGTCATTGTTACAAATTTAAACAGGTTTTGAGTGACCTACCCAAGTCTTTCCTTCTCTTAAAGTCTGGACCTTTTAGTGTATGATTTGGCAGAATGTAAGATTTTTCAGGAATGTGTATTTCAGAAACATCTGTACAGGGTTGCTTCATAACCTAAATAGCAATAACACAAGACCTACCACTTTCAGGATTGAGTAAAAACACAAAATTCAACATAAAATGAAAATATATAGTGACGAACTGACCACTTATATAATCGATTCTTTATCCAAATATCCCTCTCCACTATCCAACCCTACCCAGTGCACAATGTACTTGTTGGTCACCGTTACACCATTATCAGAATGCACGTGATGGTGCATGCACCATGCAAATTAGCTGCAAAGTGAAATTATAAATCTTGCAGAGTCAAGATTGCATAATGTTAAGGAAAGTTATATAAAAAACTGCACCAGGTGCAAACTCAGCCAGTGACAGATGAGAATAAGGCTGTTAGACTAAATAATAACGAGAGACAACTGACAAGGATGATGATAACGCAGGCTCTTGGCAGGAGAAAGTTCTGATTCTCCGAGGATTAGGAGTTCTGAGGAATATCGTTCAAGTCCTGAGCTACAACTGCTCTTCACAACCATGCTCCAACAGTCACACACAAAGTCAAGAAAAAGAGCCCAGAGTTAAGTCTTTCTGCATGTGAATTAGCCCATGCTTGAAACTGCAACTCTGTTAAATAAGATAGACTTCATTTTTGAAACTAAGGTCTCTAACAAACTTTTATGGTCACTATTTACTGTAAATTTGATCCCAGTTTTAAGTAGGTTTATTTTAAGGAGAATTTTATGATACCAAGTATCTTTGGATAGCGGCACTCTGCTATACATAATAATGTACTACAATAAAACACTATGTGAGGCAGAGAAAGACCACAAAAAGAACAGATGATCAGGCCAGGACTTGAGGGAAAGGATGGGTGCAGACTGTTCCAGAGAACTGTCAGAAAGAGAGGCAGAAAGAAAAGAATAATCAGGGCATAAGGTGCAGCCTCATACAGAGGGTGAGGACTACCTACTGTGATAGGCACTTTCAATGATGTGCCCAAAATTTAATTTTTTTTTTTTTTTTTTTTTTTTTTTTAAAAAA